TTCAACTCCCAGAATTCCCCAGCCAGCCATGCTTGCTGGGGAATTCTGGGAGTTGAAGTCCTCATCTTAAAGTGGCCAAGTTTGGACAACACTGCCTTAGAGAATGATTGAAAAATAGGATTTAGATTCCACGTGAATCAATTCAAAGCCTGTGTGTGTGTTGTTTTGATCAGTAGAGGGCAGCACCTACAATTATTCTGGGACACAGCCAGACTGCCATCTTAAAATGCTTTCCTTTACTCCCTGGGATAGCAAGAAGTATGCCAGCATAAATTGCTCTGCCCTGACTGACAAGCCTTCTTCTGCTTCAGTAATTAAGCTGTTGAGTTGTGCTCACTGTCTTAATGTGGAAACAAGTCAAAGAAAACAAGGGGTGGATCCCCTTTTCTTTGTTTCTCCTGGCACCAAGCGTCACCTCCGATAGCAAAAATACCAGCATTTGTTCTCCTTAATACAGAGTGGAGCAGGGCTGGGCTAGTGCAGGTGGGCGCTTAAAGTAGCTGGGGTAGCCACCCCTCACGTTGCCTGACCAACAGGCTCTGGGCCTGTCACCTGTCAGTTGGGCTGGCTCTGAACGTGAGTCTAGCACTCTTCTGGAAGAGCACTAAACCCGTGTCCAAAAATAGCTTGGCAGGTCACAGGTGCCACGGAGAGGGGCGGGGGCAAAGTGGGAGGGAACAATCAATGAAGAGCAAGCCCTGCCCTCCAGTGCTGCAGAGGACTGGCAATGAGTCACTTTGGGCGAGGCGGGCGGCTATATAAATGTGACATATCAATCAATCAATCAATCAATAAAAATAAATGAGCAAGCGGAGTGACAGAATCCAGGTGTAGTTGGGGAGGAGGCAAAATGGCATATACAAAATGTTGTTCTCCTCCATCAGAGTAATAAAAACAATATAAAGTACGGCTACACAAAATCCCTTGATGGCAGAAGCAGCAAAAAACCTGTAATGGCTAATTATTGACAGAACCAGCAACATGTAGCTGGCAAAGTTTGGCTCTCGTTCCTGACTGAAATTGACTTTCTGAGCAGCGCAGGACTATCACTTTCTCAAGGGAACTCTAGTCTTGTTTTAAAAAACCCACAGGTCTAGTGCTCTTTCAAAAGACCACTAAATCCATGTATACAAAGAGCCCATGTAAGATCTAGAGCTTTGCTTGGGGATTGCAAGGGAATGATAATTTGATTAGATGGCTCCATTGTTTATAATCTGATGCTCTCTCTTAGCCTTTTATAATAGTATTATTTTTTTGTACTTTTGAATGTTTTTAAAATTGTTTTTATGGTTGTTTTGTACCCCACCCAGAGTCACACTGTGTGAGAATGGCAACCATATAAATATGATTGATTGATTGATTGATTGATAGATAGATAGATAAATAGATAGAGTCACACTGTGTGAGAATGGCAACCATATAAATATGATTGATTGATTGATTGATTGATTGATTGATAGATAGACAGACAGACAGACAGACAGACAGAGCAAATACCTCTGTAGAAGCCAGATACTGCTATTGCCAACAGCCCAAGGCAAAATGGTTATTTCGAGGGATGGGGGTGCTACAGTAGCTTAAAGTGACTAAGAGGAGCTGGGCAGATTCCATCCCTGACTGTGACATTAACCACATCATCGATGAAGCGCACTAGATCATGTCCACAGCAAGAATTGTATTTTAATTGTAGAACTGTATTTTAGAACTGGAGCATCTAAAGAACATCTATAGCATCAAAGCAGTTTCAGAAGGATATGGCATAAAAAATGATTACCTGGGCAGATGAGGAAGAGCTCAAAGTGAGATTTTACAAATTTGAACATTTATATGTATAGATTTTTTCACAAAGTTATTGTTGGAAGGAGGGTTTTGAGGCACTCTAATATATGTGTCCAACCACATTAAAAGACTTCTGTTCTTCAGGTCTGAAGAGACTACTTTATACTGCTTTAGGATGTTCAAAGGATTCTTTAATATATTATCTGATAATATTATACTGCATTCCTGCAAGGAAGGACACTATTATTCCCATGTTGTAGTAGAGTAAGAAACCTACAACCTTCCTGATGTTGTTGAATTACTATTCTCAGCGCTGCACAACATTGGCTGGTCTGTAGTTCAGCCACATTTGAAGGAGGCACAGATTACCCATCTATCTCCTAGAGGTACCCATCAATTCCAGGTCAGAGGATCCTCTTGAGTCGTAGGCCTCTTGTCCAAGCAGAATCTCTTGATTATTATGTTAGACTGGTCTTTGACTCTTGGTGCTAGGTTCTTTTTCTGGTGCTAAACTTGAGCCATATGCCTTTGCAGAAATCTCTGTCTTCCATTTTGGAAGCATGACTAGTAAGGAGGACTAAAGGGAAGAGGAGAGAACAAATAGATGATGGTTGCTTGGAGCAGACGCTCCATCCCTGGGAAGGAGAAGTGACTGTTTTGCTGGTTTTGAGTCCAAATCTGAGTTCTCTATCTCTAGTTGATAGCCAAGAGCGCCTGGCCCTTCGCTTTGGGCAACCATTGGTGGACCCAGATATCGCTCGAAATGGAGTTGCCATTGTGCTATGTATGGGCGGAGTGCTGTTCCTGGTGATCATAGGCGTGTAAGTATCACAAACAGCCTGCAGTCCCCCTAGAAAGCAATTTCTGGTTTAAAGTTTTTTTTTTTTCCATACCAAAGGTGACTACAAATGACAGCACCCTGGGTACCACGCATGAAGATTTTTGAGAGTCACTAACTCTGCCTTTCTCCTAGGATTATCGTGTACTGGAGAAGTCAGCTCTATAAGTATGTTTAGCTGAGATCTACCCCTTTCTCACTCCTAAGTGACATCTGCTGGCTGAGATCCACTTAAACCTTCAGACCATGAACCATAACCATTCCATAACAACCTTCAACGCAGCTTTGCTCACAGATTGATATTCCTTCTTTTGACCCACATATTTTGCCTTCTAATCCTCTTCTCTTCCCTGTGTTTCCCATAATAAACACAAATCTCTGTGGTTGCAAACTTACTCCATAGTTTAAAAAAAGGGATTCTAGTCTGCTCAAAAGATGACAGATGTTCTTCTCTGTGCAAATGGATTAGTTTTATTTACTCTTGTCAATGGAAGATTAAGAATACATTGAATGATGAAAGGTCACTTAAATGGCCTTCTGGCCTATTTACGCAATTAATAGCCCAAAGATTTTAGCAGCATGCGCTTCCTGTACTTGAAACACACCATGTACCTAGAAGTGAGGAAGTATGGTTAGGAGAGAGAGTGGATTCTTGGATCTGATGGAACTGGACTGAGTTCTAGTCTACGTATAATAACACAGAGAGAAGTGGTGAATGATACTGTGCTACTTTATAAATGAATAAGCAAATAAACCAGATATAAATTCCTGATCAATAAAAAACAAAGGGAGAAAGGTTCAGTCCAGACCTTTCAGACTTCTGTTTGTTTTCTTTCTAAAACATCGTCATATTGCTCACATATACCACAGGAAGATCCTGTCCATCAACGTTGTATCCCAAAAGCATAAAACAAGTATACACATCCGGGAAAGTGACAGAGACCGTCATACTTATGAAAGCATTCCTAAATTTTCCCTAGAACAGTGTTTCTCAACCTTGGCCACTTTAAGATGTGTGGACTTCAACTCCCAGAATTCATGCTGGCTGGGGAATTCTGGGAGTTGAAGTCCACATTTCTTAGAGCTGCCCAGGTTGAGGAACTGGGCTTTGGAACTAAGAGGACTAGACTCTTGCTTTTTTACTTTTGTTTTAAAGATCAAGCTGTTCATTTTATAAACTTTAATTCTGTGCTTGTACAGAAACTCTTCCAGAGATGTATGGAATAGTGAGAGTGTCCTGGTTGTTTCGGAGGTAAGCACAAACACCAGTTTTACAAGAAAATTCATTTCACTAATACCCTGTGGTTTCTTTAGGAACAAAGGTAAGTAAGGAGAATTAATCTAAGGATGTGTATTCCTGATTATTTGGGAAAATTCATAGAACTTGGCAGAGGTGGTTACTCACACAAGTATGATTGAGGTTGTTATCACAGACTCACAAACAAGGAACACGTAAAGAACAATTTCATTGTATTCTGCCAGACGTCTGTCTTCCACTAGAGAAGAGAAGGCCTTTTTTAGCTTCTGGTTAAAGGGAAGCTCAGCATAGAAGCAAGGAATCTTCACATTAAGCCAGTGGGTCTCAACCTTAGGAACTTTAAGATGTGTGGACTTCAACTCCCAGAATTCCCTAGCCAGCTGGCTGGGGAATTCTG